GTCTGACATCTCTGTTACAAACTCTGGTCATCAACTCTGGTTTTCAGTTGAAATTGGAATTGTTAATTTACACAATTATAGGATTGCATTGACGATTTTTTCTTAACTCGCAAAAATCTTCAAACAATTCGCTATCGATTGGTGATAAAATTTTTTGGAAATAATGAAATAGAGGGGATAACGCCTTTTTTTTCTGAGGTGATTTTCCAAAAATTTATTTTAAAAAAAGTACTAACTAGCAAATGTTTTTTATTAGCTCGCAATTTTCTTCAAAACTACTTCAATGAGGAAAAAAATAAAAATTCGGAATATCTATACATGAGGGGCTAATTAATCGGATCTGGGCAAATGAATCGGTACGTCAAAAATTCCTGCAGGTGGCGTTTGGGTTGACTATGACCCACTCACGGACACAAGATTTCGCATGCATTGGTGTATTTGTTGATTCTGCCTTCAAATCCGATTCCTCCGTCGATACTCTTGTTAAGCTCTCGTTTCACTCCGCTTTCTATCATTATTCTTCAATGAAATGAAAAAAGTTTGATAATAATGCCACAGAGGTGTTCTTCATTCACGAATGCACAAAACTTTCTTCAAATGTTCAATAAAAAATACTAAAATACATTTACTCTTTTTTCCACTTGATCCAGGCAAATCACTAATACCATTCTAAAGTTTTCTGTCCGCGACGCCTGTGTCTGATCGCTCGCAACTGCTGCGACCTCTACGATTTATTTGAAATTTTCGGTTTAGGCACCATATCCCCCATATCTAGTTCGACCGTCTCCGTTCTTTTCTCCATCGTCATGAATTCTTAGTGGAAATGTGATTGAAAAAAAAAACTTAAAAAATGTTTTCCATTCATGGAAAACGGATGCGACGAGTTGAAGGAAATCTGAAGAGGATAAATAACTTATAGAAATGTTTGAAAACGCGAGATGAGGGTGCCGCCATCTTGTTTGGATAGCCGCTCCCTCGGTTGCCAGATGGTGGCATCCACGCCTGCCAACCGCTGAAATTCAACGCGCGAAATTTGAATGTCTCGATTTTCCCCTGGCCTTACAACACTCCCCACTGATATTTATGTTTATATTTGGTTTTTCATGAATGTTAAGGTGGACTAGACGGAAAATTCAGGCATTTTGAGCAGGATGCCGAGTATAAACTCCAATTAAATCTCAATCACGGACTGAAATTTCCACTGACTAATGGGAGTCTCTACGGAAGACTGCACAGTCATCAAAATCGAAGTGAGTTATAATAAATAATCTCCAAATGTTGTGTAGCTCTTCACTTCATCAGGTCATAACACAAAGATTGAGACATTATACCTTATCGCAAATATACGAACCATCAACATGAATGATAGATCCCCTTATTCAATTTCAACAATGGAATCGCTCTAAATATATGAAGAAATTTTACAAAAGTCTTTTTTCTCCATCTCAATGAACAATTCTCCCGACAAACTCTATTTTACATTGAATCGAAAGATGCGAAATCACTCAACCGATTAGGTCTCAACTATAATTTTCATCATTAATTTTCCAGCGCGAACGGGAACAATAACAATGGGTATCCAGCATTATCCCCGGACTCAATCTTTGAACGAAGACAATGCCTACGGCTCTCTTCCGGCTGAATTAACATCCTTTACTTCATCAACCTTCGAGCCACGTCACTCGAAAGAAACAAAATCAATCGTGTCAGATCAGCACTCGGCGCAACGTCTTCTCCGTCTGAACGAGAATTTTGACTTCACTAATCGTCGAAAAATCGGCAGTACCGATGTCTTCGGTCAGAATATGGAGAATCTTGTTCAATTGGAGGAGCCAAAACGAAAGTTCGCAAAGAGTCTGGACGAAATACGCGAGGAAGGGCCGAGAAAGCAGGTAAGAAGTGCATCGAGACTGGAGGCCGCGTCGGCTAGGAGAGAGGAGCAAGAATTCACGAGAAATTTGGTCAGGAGAAATCAGAGTTTTGATTATGCCAAGTACTCGAGAACAGGACTCGATTCGAGGACTTATGATGCCAAGGATCTGTTGAAGAAGGACAGGAGTTTTGAGGTAAAAAGGGATGGCTATGATCAGGAGGCTGGGTATGAGTCCTCTGACGATGAGAGCTGTGATTTTGGAAGCGGAGATTTTGATACCATGAGCTCGTGCAAGAGCCGCAGCAGAAGTTGCTGCTCTGTTACCACTGTTGCTAACGATGATTTCGAGTTTTTTCAACGAAAGGGGACGAAGGTATGTAAAGTTTACACACTTCATTCTAAAATGAAAAATACACCAAATAAAATGTACTGATTCAAGTCAACGTGGGATTGATTCTAGTCGATTTTCGGCTTGATTCAAGTCGAGTGACTCGGACTCCATCAATCCGAATTTCGGACCTTATCTAAGCAGAAAAGTGGATTTTATTTCAAGAAGAAATGAGTCAAGTCGCTTCTTCGACTTCATTCGAGTCGATTTTTCGGCTTGATTCGAGTTGATTTCTCGATTTGAGTCAAGTCGATTATCGACTTGATTTAGGTTGAGTTACTCGGATTCCATCAATCCGAATCTCAGACCTGATATAAGCAGAAAAGTGGATCATTTTAAGAAGAAATGTGCCAAGCCAAAATCGACTTGAATCAAGTCGAGTTTTCGACTTGATTCAAGTCGATTTTTTAATCTGGTTCACGTAGATCTTTCGGCTTTTTGTTTTCGGTTTGATTCATATCGATTCTTCCACTTGATTCGAGTCGATTTTTCAGCATGATTCAAATCAATTTTGTAGTTTGATTTAAGTTGATTTTTCGGCTTGATTCAAGTCGATTCCTCGGCTTGATTGAAGTCTATTTTTTTGCCTGATTCAAGGTGATTATAGGGAGTTATACACGGGACAGTCGAAACATCGACTTGAATCAGACCGATGTACCAGTTTACATCTTTCCGAGTCAGACATGATTCATGCCGACGATCCAACATGTAATAAGTCAGTTCCCGGCATGATTCCATCCGACTTGATTCAAACCGATTTTTCGGTTTGATTCAAGACGATTTCTTGTTGGGTGTATGATTGATTGAAGTTTATTAACTGCACATTATGTTGTACAATGTAAATAATGACACAAGCCATGAAACAGGGCCCGGAAAATTAAAATAGAAATAAGTACGGAATTTTTGGGCCGTAAAACCTGCAAATTAGGGGATCAAATGGTAAAAGCTTTATGCCCATTTGAAGAACAATTCAAAAACTACTTTAAACAGTGCAATTTTCTTTTTTGGTTGCAGGTAGACGACCTTCTCCCCTCAAAGAAAACCCTTGACACAAAAATCAACATGCGGACTTTCACTCCAAAAATCATCGAGAAGAGTTGGACAAGCGAAACTGGATCACAAAAGAGAGATAATCCTAAAGAAACCTCGACAAAACCCATAATTCAATCATATCATTTGAAGAAAATCACGCCGGGTTACTCGATGAATGATTTGGACAAGCTTTACCCTGACACAAAACAGCCCAATGTCTCAATGGCAAGCCTCAAAAGTGCATTGACAAAATCTGATATCAGTTATCTTGACAATGGAGATATCTGCAGACACAACATCGGTGGATCCGCTCCGGATTTCAAGAAGATTTTCGTTACGGACTTCATCTGAGAATGCTCTCTATCTTCTCCTTTGACATTGATTCATCCGTTCAAATGCGAAGATCGCGACTATTGCTAATTACTGTTCTGAGAAAGTTTTAAACGAATTGATGTAATATACTCATTAGGTAGAGGAGAATGTTATTAACCCAATGGATTGTATATAATCGTTGTATATTTGTATCTTAATATTTAAAGATAAATGTTATTACTTTGAAATATATCCATTGGCTTTTAATTATCTTCCAATGGGAGAATGTTTCCACAACATTTACTTGTTAAAATTTTCTCACTAATATTTTATTGAAAGAATTCGTAATGAAAAATCTAATACCGACGAGACGGATTTGAACCCACAACCTTCAGATTACCATCTCGCTACTTAAACCAATGTTGCTAGTCAGATATATTGAATCTCATAATTAAATTATTCAATAAAATCCTTTTCAAGGGCCGTTCGGCAATCGTATCCAACAATAATTAACACCATTTAATTGAAATTGAGTTGGCAATATTTCGAGTACGCAAAGTGTGGAAAGTACTTCTCTTTAGGGCCAAATTTATCAATCTACAATAATGAACAAAGTATAATATTACAAGTAAATTTTTCCATGCAGAGTAAATATTGCAACGTAATAAAAATAAAATTATAAATAAAATTTCGTGAAATAAATTTCCCCGGAATGCAATTAGTGTTTGGNGGGGGGGGGGGGGGGGGGGGGGGGGGGGGGGGGGTCGTTTGTACAATCTCAGCTGGACACAATCCATTTTGGAGACATTCTAGGGCAAGCGGCATCTGTACGGGAGGCGGTGGAACAGATGGGCACGGAAATTTGTAGTCACATTCGAATTGTACAAACAACCCCTCCCCTAGTGATCTTGCACTTCTAAAATAAACAAATATTCTGCCATAGCATCAGTCGATAAAATATAAGCAACTTTTGGTCAGACAGAAAAAAATGAACTACCTCCCTCTGACGGTTAATACGATAGCCTCTCGAGGTAAATAAAATTCTCATCTGAAGATAGTACCCAACAATGAAAATAGATCGCGTTAGATTCTATTCAGAACCAATTCCGCTTTCCACTTCGAGGGAAAAATTTCAGGTATTCAATTTAACATCGCATGTTCCCCGACCATACCTTTCGAATGGGCATCCTTTCATTCGCAAAATCTGGATAAATCGAGGTCTAATAAACCGTTATAAATGCAAGAAGTTGGGATCATTTAAACGTTCGAGGGAACCATTCGAGCATGAGCTGCACCGAATCTATAATTATCACGCGAAATGAAGTGACCTCTTAACCCGACTGAAATGATCCGACTTCCTAGGTATCTCTGATCACTAGTTTCCCGATTAATCCATGCAATGAAGACAGGCAAATTTGTATGCTGAAATAATTTAATAATCTTGGTGGATGCTTTTCCTTCGTTATTTGTGGGGAATTTTCATGCGTGCCGAATTAGGATGCACCAAGTTTACTGGGGATTCTCAGTTTTCAGGAATATCACGAATAGAACTTACTTCAATAGTAGATTCTTTAGGTTAAAACTCTCAGGAAATGCATCTTTCAGAACCGCGATGTCAGTTTGTTCTCCAATTACTCACATTTTGTTTTCTCCCCGTCTTTTCTTCATTTTCTCTATAAGAACATCAGTGTTAACTTTTTTATCAACAATCTATTTCGCCAGGGATATCCTGAAGTCTAGGAACAAGGATAATCTTCGCTTAAGATCCTGGATTACACAAATCTTGTTTTTATATTTCAGTGAAAAAATATATTTTCTGACTATAATTTTTCTATTCATATATATCTTATGAACCCGGCTGTGTAGCGCACTTGGTAGCAGCATGAGATTCACAACCTCAAGCTCCCAGGTTCGAGCCCCGGCCGGGCCAAAATTCCCACACCAATTTTTCATCACAATTTTCCACATAATATTCAACTGAAAATTCAAGACAATTTTCTAACCGAATATTCCACGGAATTTTCAACTGAAAAATCCACTCCACATTCAACATTCCCTGGCTGAAGGCCCTCGGGCGATGGCCGCGTTAGCAAGTTAATCCTTGCAACGAAAAACCGGTGAAATTTGAAATTTTTATATCTTATGAAAAAAATGTTATTAGAAAACAGCTCTTTTCAAAGAGATATAATAGGGTTTGCCTAATCTAGGATCTTTGGCAAAAATTAAGCAAAGCAGAGCTCTTGAATGACCTCTGTTCTAGATACTTTATGCAGTAATCTAACAATCTTGTGACATGAAGCAATTATTTAGTTGGAAACAATATAATTCCAACTGCCCTACACTGAGAAAAAAATATGATTCTTCTGACTATATTCCATCACTATCGCACTATAGTCAAAAAGTCCTCAACAATTTCTCATGGGTTACGGTAGCTATGGCCGGAGAAGTGATTACTACAATGGAATGTAGTCATTGCTACTATTTTATAGTTCTGCTCACGATAGGTTTGTCGTGGTTACTTTTGAACTTTGGTTAGTTTAACTGCATTTTGATTTGCAAAAATTACGCTTGTGAAGTTACTATAATGTTATGTGCCGCATACAAAAAAAATCGTATTGTTCACCAAAACTGCCTCAACTATTTTCTTATAGTAAATCGAACTTCAGATTTTTCTCTCAGTGTGATAGATCGAACCCAGAGTTAATCCAGAGTTAACTCTGGGTTTGATTCATTAGGGTGTAATAAGCAGAGCTTGGCAAAATACTATTTGAAACACTGCACGGAACAAAAATATACTTGAATCAAGTATATTATATACTTGATTCAAGAATATTATATGTGGACGTCCACATGAAAAGGGCCCACTTTGACGGTATTGGAGTTATGTATGTTCCGATAATCTTGATCAGATTTCTCACATTTTGAGTCAAAAATCAACCCGATAGAATGAAAACTAACGTCAGTATAGACGATCAAAAAAACAATTTAACATTGGTTTAAATGGGAGATGTGGAGAGAAAAACGTGAATATCTCGGAAACTAGATGCGACAGGGTGGGCCCTTTTCGCGTGGACGTACACATATATTTGATTCAAGTATATTATTCTTGATTCGAGTATAAAATATACTTGATTTAAGTATATTATTCTTGATTCGAGTATAAAATATACTTGATTTAAGTATATTATTCTTGATTCGAGTATAAAATATACTTGATTTAAGTATATTAATGATTCTAGTATATTTTATACTCGAATCAAGAATAATATACTTAAATCAAGTGTATTATATACGCGAATCAAGTATATTTTATACTCAATTCAAGTATATTTTCTTTCGTGTATTTCAAATATTTACCACTTTTACCCTTCCAGTCCACTAATTTTTATGTAGATAACAACGAAAATTTTACTCTACTGGTACAGTAATTTTTACTCTACCGGCACGGTAATTTTTATTTTTATCAGGATTTTTACTAAATTTCGGGATAGAAATGAAGAAACGATGACTCATGATACACTTTTATAGAACAGTAGGGTAATTTTTATCAAAAATTTCTCTCCGTGTACTGTCACTTAAATTTTCTGAGTCGATTCCGTAATCGGTGAGCGAGTTGTGAGTTCCGTAATTTTTACTGAATATTTCTCTCCGTGTAAAATGGACCTTGCAGAAGGAAGAATACGGGAAAAAAAGAGAAGCCCAGAAGCCCACTGTCAAAAATGTCGGAGACCGTAAAATTGAAAGTTTCCAGTGACACAGATTTAGAAAATTTAGGGCCACTGGGTCTTTGGGTCTACCACCTCGTGGGCTGACTTCTGTATGCCCTCACCTTATTTTCGAGGGGGAGAAGGAGGTTTCGACCATTCTTAGTTCTGGTCTCTGGACCAACTGCAGGGCAATTGGCTCGTGGCATCGCTGGATCTACTCACTTTTTCTGAAAGAGTAGTCCTCATGAGGTGATTGTCCCTCCAGGCGGCTGACAAGAGATTTACGAATATTGAGTTGAAATTTTTCGGGGAGAAAACTTTTTACCACTGCATGGGCCACTTGTTGCCACTTGATTTGTGGGGTTCGAAGTATTTTTTCCGTTTTGAAGGTTTTTATGATTTCAACTAATTTTTAATCAATGATTGTTCTCATCTCCATGATATTAATCAATTTAGGAAAGGTCAGGGGATATTGAAGAAATAATTACGACGTTGAGTAAATTGTCATAATGCGGCATTTCGTTAAATTATTTTAGCTTGATTCATCAGGCGCTTCACGGCAATCTACGTCTAGTCAAACTATTGTTGTGTATCACGAACGGGTGTATGTGTTTTGATTGATTTCGGTTGAAGAGATCGAAACGAATATTTTGAAAAAAAAAAAATCGGTTGCGTAATTTTCAAGATAGGGGAGGTTGGGGTAAAACGGACACTTTTGACTTTTGTTTAAATGTTAATGAGGGTTTGGAATGTTGATAAAAGTTAATAATTCTTCTTCAATACAAAGAACAATTCTTTCCCTTTGTGATGAGCCTAAACTGAGCTCAATTGATCAATTTGTTTCTGAGTTATGAATAATTGAAAAAAAGCCTAAAGTGTCCGTTTTACCCCACGCTCCCCTATTGCATATAAAATTTTTCTAAAAATAAGTCGAATTTCTCTGAAACTACTAATGCGATTGAGTCCATCTTTGATACGAACTGTTGTTATCATGAGAGGAAAATTCTGTCCACATTTCAAATTGATATCTTGATTTTTCCACAAGCTAAAGTGATTAGAAAGTTTTTTATGTGGAAAACGGAAAAACGAGAATATCTCGAAAACTTTGTGTGAACGGATGTATATGTTTTAATTGTTTTAGATAGAAGGCTTCGAAACGAATATTTTGAAAACAAAAAATCGATATAGGTCCATTAGTTTTGAAGATATTTGCAGAAAACGATTTAAAAATGAATCAGTTTTTCTCAAGAACTGTTAGATCGATCGGTCTGAAATTTTGCAGAGTTAGTTCGCATTAAGACCTAAAATCTGATGAAATTCCAGATTTTTTGGAATTACTTTAGCCACTTAATTACTCAATTTACATATACAGACACGCTCACCAAACTTCGTATCTTCTTCTTCTTCTTCTTCTGTTCGTTTAGGTTATATCCTCTGACTGTATACACTGAGAGACAAACAAACACCCTATCAAACAGTTTTGTTTGGGCTAACAAAATCGCTAGTTGAAAATTGCCAAAAAAGAATTTGTTTGGTTCGAGTTGG